AATGTAGTAAGCCGATACCATCATAGTATATAACCCATGTTGTTACATTTCAGCAACAGTTTGCTTCATCATTCAGCACAGCATCTTCAAATCACAGTTAAATACTGCCACCTCCTGACGCATAATAGAACAACCAAACATCATCTACACCATAATTCAAACTAATATATCTTGACCCACACATCAATACTTTTATATCTGCAATACTGGACAACAACCCAACTGTCCTACAGAGCTAGTGAATCCTGTCAGACATTTTACTTGCATATATTTGTTCCTGATGAGATATTGATCATTGTATTTTTCATCGTAAAGAAGAATATTTATCCTCTGTTTGACCATTTATGCATTCACTTTATGAACCATTAAATGAACTAATGTTAAACCTTTTATAAAACTAAAACATGTACAGTGAGATAATCTTAGTGTAGAAAGTTACTACCTCAACAAGGATCACAAAGGCCCAATATAAGAGGACAGATTACATCTCGGATGACCTTCTTCCTTTCTGTCTTTGTCTCTCTCTTACTCTACCCCTTAATCTGTCTCTCTCGCACACACACACACACACACACACACACACACACACACACACACACACACACACACACACACACACACACACAACACTTTTTGGTATTCCTGTGATAGACCTAATGGTCTCTAGTGTTTAAAAGATAGAGCCCTAACTCATACTGACAGGACAGATTAACACACCGGCCTTAAACACGAGTGGAACAAGTCAAAGGTCAATACACAGAGAGAGATGTAAACTGTGCTTTTCTCTGTTTGTGTGTGTATTGTTGGTGTTTTTAATTGATGATTTATTTTTAAGTTAAAGAACTACTTACTAACTGTGTTCTGTAGAATATTTACATACAAGTAGGGCCTACTTGTCTCTTTGATCTCTTTCTCATGTTCTTCTTCTCTTTTTATAACTACTTTATAACTATAACATTTTTTGAATAAATATATTGCTATTATTATAACGTTTTGTAAAAATAAGTCAAATGTTTTCTCTTCTTTGACTCTACAGATTTAGTTATTATTTAAAGTGTTTAGATTTGCTTTTCTTAACATTACCTTGTTATTTTATTAACAATGTATTTGGATAACATTTTCACATTTTACTGTTTTTTTTACTCATAAGAAAACATGAACATAATGAAAACCCATTTTGTGGTGAAAGTTAACCCTTTACTCTAGTCATTAAGCCATCACCCATGTTGGATCAGCCCAACACGTTTCATTTACAGTACAACAGGCTGCGTTCACACTCCGGTACGATGGGTGGCGCTGGTGCTACTTGCTGGCTTCGCAACCGTCGTTACCACACACGAAGAAGAAGACGAGGGCGGAAATTAAAAACAGAAGAAGAAAAGTGTGTTTATTCCTTTATACAGTCTATGGTTTATTCTGACAGTTTTTAGTTTATATTGTAAGGGTCGCTAGTGCTTCATATCAGAATTGTGTACAAGGTAAGATACATCCGTTTTAGTTTTGGATAGCGCTTAACTACTTTATTGATAGAATTGATAACATGTAGAGTAATGAATTCAGTCGCTTTGGATTGCCCGCTCCGCCATAATGCTGTCTAAATCTATCTGATGCTAGCTAAAGCTTTTTATTTATCATTGCTCTATCAGGCTAGCGTCAGGTAAGTTGATGCCCAAAAAAGTCAGAGGTAGGATGTACCATTTTGAGATAAAAGTGCATTACTTGAGTATTTTCTTTTCATGATGCTTTCTACTTCTACTCCACTAATTTTTGGCACTGGGTATATGTGATGAATATTGCCAGACCTTTTAATAATCTAATTGTTTAATACTTTATTAGTCACAAGATACATTTTTCTGCATTTATAATTTTCATTTTTAATACTTTACGTACATTCCCTGTTTATACTTTTCAATGAAGATTTTGTAGCACTGGTCATGCTGAAAGTAGAGACCCCACCAAAATCCATTGTTTTTTTTGTACTTAAATTATCATTACATTATTCATGTGAAATCATTATTACACTAACTTGAAAAGGTAAATACATGATTGTATCTAAATTCTGAGTTCTTCGGGTAAGCTACTTCAGCACTTTTTTTTGTTATTATTTTTATATTTTACGTTTTTGAAGACAATATAGTGTTATATCGCCACTCACGAAACAAGAAGAAAATGTATTCAAATATATGTCTTGACGGTTATGATCATCTTCTTTTTTTTCTATGTTTTTATGAACCCACAGGGACAGGGACACCCTTTTGAAACAATGCACAGCATCGGTGATCATGATGGCGTTGACGTCACCTCCTGGGTGTTAGTGTGTCCCGGAGGTCTCTGGAAAGTACAGCGAAAGCAAACACATGAAGAGAGTCAGGAGATAGTTTCTTATTCTGGAGATGATGCAGGTATGATGCTTTTCTATTGTGTTCTCCCTCGAATTATCCATTTGAGTCCATATTTGGCGGAATATAAATGTATTATTCATCTAGTAATCTATCTCACTTAATGTCTCTTTGTATCTTCTAGCATGTTCATCCAGTGACTGTCCAAGGTTGGGGTCTCTATGTCGGGTCCGGGTGCGGCTTAAAGCTAACATGGATGGAGCAGAGAGTTTAGTATCTGAAATGGGAAATGAGAAGCTGTCAGACCAATCAGTGGCTGAGATGACAGAGGCCACACCCTTCCCGAGGTGTCAGGACACTGTGCTGCAGGTCCCGCTGGGTGACTGGATAACACTGAGGCTCGGAGAGGGTCAGTGCAACATCACTGAAGCATGTGTGGAAAGGATGAGAGCGGGACAGAAAACTGAGGTAAGAGAGAAGAGGATACTGGGATAGTGATTGAATGTCATTGGTTGTACAGATGAAAGTAAGTAAAAAACCAAAAAAAACGCCAAGGCTATGAACATTATGGTTTTCGTTTAATATATTTTAAGATGATATAATGTATTTGCAATACCCTGATATACATTATATTGACAGGACTGGAGTAAGAGTGTACATGCTCTCAAGTCTCTTTGCGTCTGAAAATGAAAAGTTGGAAACCCGATATAATGATCAGGTGGGACAAAAGCTAATTTGATACTAACTTTATATGTCGCTTGTTTATTAATAAAACAAATTGTCCAAGAAGATTAAAGACTATTGCAACAAAAACAAATTGTGAGAATGTCAGTTAAGCAGCAAACAGTAAAGGTTGTGGTGTGGACCAGATAAAGAAGGCTTAGTAGGAGTGTGTCTTACTAAAAGTGTGAACCCAACTTTGGCATTGTTTCAAATCTCAATTGTGTCCCAGTTGTGTGCCTGTGAGCCCTGACATACAGCACACAAAAACCCCAAATGTGTCTTAATCTCAATTTCTACATGTATGGCAGCCATTCCATTCCAGTGTCTGTTGAATTCCAACACAGAGACATGTTGTCATTAGTTTTAAGAATACAATAGAAACGTTTTTAATTTATCTCAAAGACATACCTCTAAATAGTAAAACCAGAGAAACTGATAATGCTGCAGTGGTCTCTTAATTTTCTTCAGAGCTGTAAAAGCCACAACAGTTGAATTTGGATTCCAGGATTATACGTTACACATAATATTTTCTGTAGATATTGTCTTCTGACTTTTTTGTTGTTGTTCTCAGATACTGATATCTCGAGTGGAAAATGGAAAAGACGTCTCTGCTCCTGCTAAAGCAAAACTGCCTTTATGTGCCACAGTTGAACTCAAATCTTGCACACCAGGCAAGGAATCCTGGGAGATGAGTCCTGAGGAAAAGTGGCAGTGGGTGAAGTCACACAAAGAGCGGGGTGGAGTGAGATTCAGGAGTGGGGACGTGTGGGGAGCAGCAGACAGCTACAGTCGAGCGCTCAAACTTCTCATCACTCTCCGTGTTCATGGCAGAGAGGAGGAGGAAAAAGAGCAGGAAGCAGAAGAACAGAGAGACACAGACACTGGTGATAAAACACATCAACATCCTTCAGCTAATGAAGTCAAATCCATCAAAGCAGAACTCCACTCAAACCTGTCCTTGTGCCAGCTTAAAGTGAACCAACCCGAACGAGCTAAGGCCAGTGCAACCAAAGCTACTCTGCTGGAACCAGGTGGAACTAAAGCCTGGTACCGCATGGGCCAAGCCTGCCAGATGTTGAATGAGCTGGAGGAGGCCAGGAAGGCTTTTAAGAAACTGCTGGAGCTGCAGCCGGAGTCACCTGCTGCTCTGAAGGCACTTAAAGACATTGCTAGTATAGAGAAAGAGAACAATGCTCAGTTGGGACTTAGACTCAGCAAAATGTTCAGCTGAACAGTGAATCGTATCCAGTTATTATCAGATGTTATCTGTGGAACAGTATGTTTCTTCTTATGAATTAGCATTAAATGAGTACAGCCACTGACTGAATGCATGTTTGTCTCACTACTTTATGATTACATTTCAGATTATAAATCCATAGTCCAAAATAGCATGCCTTAAATGTATTTGGATGAACGTACTAACTACCTAGATTAAGGGGTGCATAAGATGTTGTCAGTGTGTCCAATACGTGTTTTATCTTTTAAAATACAAAGGTTATTGTCCTCCTAGTCGACCACAAGGTGGCAGGCTTTGTCTCCTAGTCCCACAGCCGGTGGGTTGTTAAAGGTCCCACGTCATGGCCATTTCTACAGATCATAATTCCATTGTTGAGGTCTACTAGAATAGATATACATTGTGCAATTTTAACGTATGAACACCGGTTTGTCTTGATGAGAAAACGTGCCGAAACCCTGGATCGAACCAGGGACCTTTTAGATCTTCAGTCTAACGCTCTCCCAACTGAGCTACTTCGGCATCAGAAGGCCCAATTGTACAGGGTTCGTAAATACATGCAGAAAAATTGACGACCTCGGTGTCTAATGTAAATAAATTGTTTGTATTCATTGAAACAGAACTCAAAAATAGAGAAGAATACCAGGGTGGTTAAAGAAGCACTTTAAATTACTTTTATAAAGTAACATTTAAACAAAATGAAGTTATTAAAAAATTGAATATTTATTTTGCTACTCTCCCAAAAGTCCCACAAAGCTGAAAAAAAGTAAATGTATTGCTGTATGCATAAGAGAACATACTCATACTCAATTAAGTTATTCGATGACAGGTGCAATATGACAAACCATACATGAGATATGCCTAAAGATGCATGCCTCTTCAACAGAAAGATAATCTGCAACTGCTTTGATAACAATCCATTGTTAAAGTAGTTTTCATGCAGAATGGCAGAAATGACTTTTGTCAGCATATCAAATATGCTTTTCTCTTCTTTTACAAAAAAACAACATTAAACTCAATATCTTTGGGTTTTGGACAAGACAAAAGACCTTGAATATAATAATATTGGGCTTTGAGAAAATAGGATGAACATTTTTTGTTCAATTTTTTCAAGTTTATAGACAAAAAAATAATCAATTAATCTAGAAAAATAATCTGCACATTAGTAGATAATGAACATAATCGGTAGTTTCAGCTCTAGTTCTGTCAGAATCCAAACAATCATTTATTTTGTCCCATTGAATGTATTGATTTTCACAGCACAAAGTGTATGCCCTTCCCGGTTGTCTTTTCTCTTGTCCCTCCTGTAGAAATTGTCTCGTAGAAAGAACCACAGTCAGATTTTCCTGTTGTCAGTTCCTCTTAGACTTTTTGTTGTCAGTCTGTGCCTGTGCAGCGGACAACTGTCTCCAGGCATCCACAATGAGCACTAGCGGTATGATGATCCATAGCACGTTCATGAACACAAAGTAAAACCAGAAGTAAATTGGATGCCCCAACTCACTATGAGAATAACCATCTCGGTGCTCTGTGTAGAAGTAAAGCACTGCTCCATACAGCTGACCTGAAATGAGATTATGTCATAAGACCATCATATCAATATGACAACAACTGAAAATTGGGGTAGTAATTAAGCCATCCTACCTAGTGAAATAATGAGTTGCAGAACAAATCTGTAGGGCTTGTTGGTTAGGAAGGCAAACACAGCCCAGAAGCTGAAAGGTCCCCATAACCATGCAGTCACAGTCTCCATGCAGACAGTGAAGTTATCCGCTCTAGAAATGTGCAGGGTACAATTAGTGACAGTTTCTCAACTTATTTTTAATGCAAAAAATGAACGTAGCTCTGAGAAAAGATGAACTCACATCACATATCGACTGTCCCCTTTGGAGTACTCTTTCCCTGAGAGAAGAAAATTAAACATATTTAATCTCTTTTAATCACAGTTTATACACTTTTCTAAACATGTTTTTCTGGTTTACTTGGTTACTCACACAGCTGTGACAGGAAGCTCTGGTCTGCTGGAATAATATCATAATACAGTGAGAACCATCCCTCTATGACGCCATGGATGAAACCACAGACAGCAAACCAGCACACAGCCAGACGCCTCCATGTCCCCAGCCTGCCAGTTTTCCCTTTCTGACCGGTGATCAGCCAGGTCACAAGCAGAAAGAGCCCAGACACAGAAAACAGGAACACCAGAATCTCTGACATGGATCGGTCATTGGCCACATACGTGGGAATCAAAAGGTCCCGTGGCCAATAGGGATGCAGAACTCCAGTTGCTGATTTGGCATCCATTGTCTGTTTCAAGAAAAGATGGTCAACAATCTTCATCCACAGTAAGCTTAAAATGTGTTGACTTTAATCATGTAATGTTAAAGGGAGACAGTACAGGTGAAAAGGGTACACTGATTGCCTATTAACAAAGCTTTTTAGAAATGTTATGCTTAAATATGTAAATAGTGCATTCTCTTATTAATTGTGTGCTAATGTGCATACATTTCTAGGACAGAAATCTGAACATTGGATAAAGTTATGTTAAAAAATCATGTATCTCTTTTTTGACATTAAAAGCCGGATTTTCAATATACTGTATCTGTGCTCCATAATAGTACAAATAGATAAAGTGTAGTTCAAGTAACACCTTGGTGTATTTTATTTCTCCACTAGTCTAAAAGAAGTCATGTTATACAGCAAAGGAGCCTAACATTCAAAATTGACCCATTTTTAAAAAACATATATGTTTTTGCCTGTAGACTGTCTGGGCTTAAGAATAATTGAGCATATGTTTAATTGATGAATAATGGCTCTCTGCAATGTACTGCACTACGTTTTTAACATTAGCTATTTGTTACATGTTTACACCAAGTAAAGAAAGGTTGTATTGATATACTCCATATAGCAGACATAAGCAATAGGCTAATGCATGCGTTTTTAGTCCTTACCAGTAATGCTTAAAAAAACGCGATTCCAGCTGCAAAGGTTCAACGTATATTACCACAAGAGTATCCTATTAGATGAATTCAAAAATGAAGTATGGTGGAGATCCAATAGTCCAGAGCTGTCTAATTGCATGCCATATCAGTGAGTAAAAACGCACACACGGAACTGACCAGAGCATGGGGCGGTAACTTGTGGTGTCAAAGACCAATCAGAAGATAGTATGCATAAAGCTCGAAGCACATGCGGTCTGCTGGCCCATATGATTGGCTCATCATCTCGGATCATAGATGTGGTCGTTGGCAACAACCAATAAAAACGTGTCGCCTAACCCAAAGTATAGTCCCCTCTTCTCATTGACAAGTTATTACACATTTAATTAGTCGGTGAAGGGTGAATATTAGTAGGCTACTCTAAGGGAAGATATTGCACAATGATTTCTAGCAAAGATCTTTCACTTCGAGGTGATCGTATGAGACTACTGAGCACTAATATCTCAAATAACTTCTATTAGATTTCTGAAGATTACAAAATCTTATCTTGAAAGAAAACATGTGATATTGTGCACAACAAGCCTATAAACGTATGTCCAACTAATCCGCGAACCAAAATAAACAAGCAGATGATTAAACAATGACTATTAGTGTGTTGCTATAATGATTAATTAAGTTATGCAGATTTTCTTTTTGACATTTGATTTTAATAGTTCTTATGCTGGCTGCCCATCGAGACTGGACCTAAGCCAATCCCTCCGCGAGTTCACAATGGACAAAGCCACTCACGGGACGGCTTCGCTCCGAACCCGCCCCCTCACCCTGTTGTTGTCTGACAGTGGACCTGTCGCGAGGCGCATCAGAGCTGTTCAAAGTAAGCAACAACACTGATATACAGCAACTTTAGTCTGCATAAAGTTAGCAAGCCAGCATTGCTAACGGTAACGTTTCAATGTTAAATAAACGTTAACTTAATTAAGACTGCCAACAGCAAGTATTGTATTAATGACACCTTTTTATGTATATAGTTTGGTGTATAGTTTTATATTGATGAGGCCAACTTTGTTTAGAATTTGTATAGGATTTCTCTTTGTTTAAAACAAATAATGAGGATACCAATACCTCTGCCCCATTGCAAGACTATTAAAAGAAAAGAAAAAAAGTTGTCCTCCCAAGCCGTGTCAGGGATTTAACCCTGCCGTGACCCGGATTCGAACCGGGGTTGCTGCGGCCACAACGCAGAGTACTAACCACTTAACGATCACGGCGCGCTACTGGGAGTGATGCGACCATCGACTTCAGTTCGATTTATAAAGTAGTCCGGGACGGATGCTTTGGGGTATCAACTGTGTTTTGGGGTACTTCATATGTCCGCGAAAAAGCAGATATTCTTTATTCCTCAAGACCTTTAACCATATGTATCTTATATGTGTACTGTGTATATATGGCTCTTATGTCGACGGCAAATACGGTAGAGATAGTTAGCAAGCTAACTCGGCTGTTAGCATACATCAGAGGTTAGCAGAGTTTTCTATTTGAGAGAGGTTGAGAGCTGTCGTTTTCTTTTACTTACTTTGCTTTTGGTCGTATTCAATATAGTAAACGCCAGGGAGGCTTTCAATAATATTTTACGGTACCCGAGTAACATTTTACCTTAAATTAGATAACGTAACGTTGAATGAAAAAGTTTAATGTAATGTTAGCAAAGCTAGCTATCTATTCGGTCGGATGAAGTACAACGTATTTGCAAATATGAAATATTGTTTCAAGGTATTTTCAACTTCTGCTTCAGCCACATTTGTAGATTTGAATCAACACTTTTAATCTTCCGTATGCACAAATGGCCCATCCAATTGGTATAAAAAGCTAAGTCTATCTTGAGCAATGTATCGGTCCCATATGGTCTAGCGGTTAGGATTCCTGGTTTTCACCCAGGCGGCCCGGGTTCGACTCCCGGTATGGGAACTACCTCTTTTGTCCTTTATTGTGTATAGTTCCAAGATAAGTAAAATATTAACATGAACTGTTTTTCAGCAATATTTGTGACGGATATACGTTACAGTTACACCCAGTACAAAAAGTTATTCTTTAAATGGCAATGGATGTAATTCATCCCCTTTTTTCTATTGGTACATCTGATGTTTTATGGAAAGAATAATAATAATAATAATAATAGATTTAATTTGTTAGCGTTTTTACATGTGCTCAAAGACGCTTTACAGATAATAGTGAAGAAAAAAGAAAAGAGAAGAAAGGAACAACAAATAAATATATAGTTAAAGTTAAAGTCAAATAATACAAAAACAATCACACATGAAAAGTCGGATTGAAGAGGTGAGTTTTTGTGAGTTTTTTGAAGGTGGTGAGGTCGGTGCAGTCTCTGATGGGTTGTGGGAGTGAGTTCCAGAGGGAGGGGGCAGCGACGGAGAAGGCTCTGTCCCCCCAGGTCCGGTGATTGGTGCGGGTGGGGATGGATAGGAGGTTGGCTTCTGATGAGCGGAGGCAGCGGGAAGGGGTGTGGTGGTGCAGCAGGTCTGTGAGGTAGGGGGGGGCCTGGTTGTTGAGGGCTTTGTAAGTAATGAGGAGGAAATTGAAGTGAATTTTTTGACGGACGGGGAGCCAGTGGAGGTTCTGGAGGATGGGAGTGATGTGGTCTCGGGAGCGGGTGTGGGTGAGGAGGCGGGCAGCAGAGTTCTGGATATGTTGGAGTTTATTGAGGAGGTTGGATGGTATGCCATACAGGATAACAGAAAGGCTAACGTACTATGTAGAAAAAAATGAATTAATGACTCCATATAAGAGTGGGGTTTAGAAGGGGCGGAGTACTTTCCACTGCTCTGCCTGGAATCTGAAATCAGGAAAGCTCAAGCGAATAAGGATGTTAGTATTCTTCTATGTGGAAAAAGCCTATACGATATGATGTGGAAGAAGGGATTATTAATAAAACTGGACATTATGGGTTTGGGAGGTAACATACAGTATATTAGATTATGGATTTTTTGTTTGAATGGAACCCCGCAGCGGAGCGTAATTAGTCCTCTTTTGTTCTCTATTATGATAAATGATCTATAGGATCTGATAAAAGTAACTTTTTGCAGATTATAGAGCTATTTGGAAAAGGGGTAGAAATGTAAATGATATTGTAGGTAAGATTCAGGAAGCAATTACGGAAATTGAAAGCTGTTCTCTGACATGGGGTTTAGATTGTCGGTAGAAAAATTCTGAAAACTTTATTTTTTACCGAGAAAAAAGATTGAGGAAGGAGAGGGTTAACACTTTATGCAGCAAGCAACTAAAGAAAGAGTGAAGGACATTTAAGGCTTCTGGGAATTATTGTTTGGACGAGAGAGTCACATGGAGTATTCACATTTGATAAATAAAAGTAGTAGACAAGGTAAAAAAGATGGTTGTGTAAATGTCTATTGAGGTGTGAGCACTAAGGGGGGCTGATAAAGCTGCTTTGAGGAACGTATGACAGCCCAACTTAGACAGTCATAGAGGATGAATAGTGCTTACCGGTTCAGCTGTCATAACTCTTCTCTACAAAAATAGCATTCACAAAGCACTAATGGATATGCTGTGGGCCCCAGTCAGACTGGACACCAGTGCTCGGCACTTCAGGCAGATGGTCGGAAGAACAATCACCAGATATGATTGAGTAGAAAACAGTTAATGTTAACTAGGGAGAAATACAGGGCCATGAAGAATACTCACTAAACAAACCTGTAAAAACCAAGTTATACAAAGTAATAGCAATTTAAAAAAGAAAGTGTTTGTGTTTCGTTATTATGTGTAAGGAATTCAAAGTTAAGGAATGGAATATCGTAGTCCGACTGCTGCTGTAAATATCAGCTGTTTCCACCATGGCATACTACCTCAACCTGGTAAGTAGATCTATCGCTTACTGAAACGGTCGTTTACATTCAAAGAGAAGTAAAAATCCAATGTGCCACGGCTTATGGTGAACGACTATAGCGTTACATGAAAAATATGGGCAGTTTAAACTGAAGTATTTAGCCTACACTATTAAGATAGTTTACTGATGGATCAAAAGTCCAGAAAATTCA